ATGCGAGCGTCCATCCCGTCCCCGTGCGCTTGGGCCTGCAGACCAGACAACCCAATAAACCTCGTGTCCGTCCCCTTCCGCTGCTCCTGCCACCCGTCTCGCACTGCTCCTGCTTCTCCGCCGCCGCCCACACCCCCCTTCTGTTGCTCCTGCCGCCCGCCCCACTGCTCTTGCCGTTGCTCCTACTCCTGCTCTGCACGCCCGCTGCTCCTGCTCCACCACCTGCCCATCCCAACGATGCCGATAGGCGCCGCCAGCGCAAGGAGAAGCGTCAGGCCCTCGCGTAGAAGCCCTCTGGTCTCGCCTGCTACTATGGCTGTGGCACCCCGATGCAAACAGCGGAGGAGGCCGCACGAGGATATGATGCATGTTGCAAGCTCACATTTAAAATATTTTAGATGTTTTAGAGGTATGTTGCAAGCGTTTCATACATATGTTGCAAAAGTAGATCGGGATGTTGCATATGTTGCAATGGTTGTACACGTATGTTGCAAGAGTTTGTCTCCAATGTTTCATCTGTTTTTCAGACGTATGTTGCGAGCGTGTTTATTTGGATGTTGCATATGTTTTCATGCATATGTTGCAAGTGTTTTATCTAGATGTTGTGTATGTTTTGCAATGGTTTTCAAGTGTTTTTGCAAGTGTTTTATCTGTCTTTTTTTGTATATTGCAAGTGTTGCATCTGAATATTTTAAAAATAGATCTTGCACATGGAATACGCGTGGAAAGCTGGAGAGGACACGAGCGGTCACCGCGGGTGCGGGTGATGTTCGGTGGCATGGGCCCCGCGTGGCCGCGAGACACAGGCACAGACAAGCAACATTCGGCCGGCACGGGCCTATGCGTGGACGCGGGAAAACGGAATGCTACTTCGGGCGTCCGTCTAGACGTCCGGAGGCTAGCCGTGCCGTTTATATATACATATAGTAACGACTGATTGACCAAAGTATACAAAGCATGATTGATACATGTATTGGTCATGTCATATTTGCACGCACGCATGCAGCTAGCTAATGTATATATAAACTGATAACCCTGATCGATATATATGATATTATGACGTTTCAATGTGTAATAATGACTTGAAGAAGAATAGCATACTCCGTACGGATCGCAGTGCTCAAGTATGTATGTAATTGCATGATGATGTCAAAAAGTAAATAAAGCTAGTCGTTAGCTAGCTCTACCTATATATGTTACATTCATTCATGGGCTTGGATATAGCTAGCAGAGAACAACGAATTGAAGTAGAGATAATAATATATCCGTATGTAGAGGGAGCTAGCACATTGCTTAATTAATTTGAGGTTACTACGTACGTAGGCACTGTAATAAGCAAGTAAGCAAATTCAATCGATGGAGTCTTTCTTCCATGCATGCATTTGGTAGGTCGTACTATATGGCCATAGCTGAGGAGTACATCATGAGCTGAGATGATGATTCTCCTGCGGCTGGCCCGGCTCCGGCTCCGGCAGCTCCGGGTCCCGGTCCCGGCAGCAGACGACGAAGATCTGCTGCACCTCGTAGGCAAGATCCTCAACACTGAGCTGGCATTCGAGCCCGATCTGCATGCATTAATTAATTACATTACATTACATATGCGGCATGCATGAGAACAATCGATAATTACATTATATATGAATATGATATGCGTATATACGTGCCTTGAGGACGAAGGAGTGGAGGACGGTGTCTTCCATGGTGCTGATGTTGAGGTGGAGCACCTCCAGGTGGAGGCCCTCCAGCACGGCGATCATCCTGACGGCCTGCCCGGGGATGCGGCGGGACAGCGTGCGCAGCAGGACGTTGGAGCCGGAGATCTTGGCTTCGACGTCGGCCACGGCCGAATTGCAGCAGGCGGCGAGCTCTTTGATCATCATCCCTGCGGCAGCGACTGGCGGCGACGGGGTGGCCATGGTGTTGCTGCTGGCGGCGGAGGAGGATCCGGATCCGGAGGAGGAGAGGAGGTGGGAGCGCGGGCTGGGCGTGGGGCTGGGGGTACTACTAGTACGACTGATGATGAAGCTGCTGTGTCCGCCGCTGCCGCGCCGCCTCTTCCTGGCCTCCAGCGACTCCAGCACCTGCTGCAGCTCCTTGATGAACTCGATGGCGCCGCCGATGATGGAGGCTTGGTCGCCGCGCTTGATGTAGAGGGCGGGCGTCAGGGACCGGAGCACCTTGAGGTGCTCGTTCATCTGCCGCCGCCGGTTGCGCTCCACCGCGATGTGGGACATATTCGATCCTGATCGATCGACGTACGTACTCCGATCCCCTGGATATATGATGCAGATCGAATCGAATAATATATATATCCTGATCGATCGACTAGCTAGCTTAGCTGCGAATCCAGATAGCACTCATCTGCATCTACGGTAGGACTGCCATGCCTGAGATGCCCTCCTATATATACCAAATTTTAGACTACGTTCAAGCTAGCTGCAGGTCGGTCTGTAATGGAATTTGAAGAAGCAGGTCGGTCTGTGGAAGAAGAAGAAGAAGATACATGGATGCATGGATGACGTGTAGTCGTACTCGTGCGTATATATGTGCTAGCTGTTGCATCCATCCATCCATGATCCATTGATCGGCTGGAAGAAGGTTCGTCGACCGTACCGACGCAGGATAGGATAGATGCATCTGCAATTCTGCATGACTGCAGGTACGACAATGCATGCATTGCATAGTACGTACCTGTGTGTGTGACTGCATGTGATATGATCTACTGCACTGCAGGGTGGTACGGTGTGCAGTGGGGGACCAGACCATGCATGCATACCTGTGTGATCGCCTTCCATGCAGAGAGAGAGAGAGAGAGAGCTGCACTGCAATGCATGCATGTCGCCGTCGTGACCGTGCGCGTGCATCGTCAAGTTGCCCGCTCTTACCTTAGCCACGAATGCAGCGCGAGGCACGTACGGGAGATAAATTGGACCGCACACCGGCCGGAGTGTGTGTGTGTGTGTCTAAAATAGTACACACGTACGCCTACATGTGCAAGCATCGATCGATCCATGAAATGAAAGCACGTATGGCCCCTCCCGCCCGTCGTCGTGCGCCGCATTTACTCGCAACCGGACACAATACGTGTGTGCGCGCGCGCCCCAACCGTACGTATCATTTACTCCATGCACTGCAATGCACGCTGCGTCTACAAAGACAAGCACACCCAAACTCAACCCCGGCCGGCGCGTTCGGTCGAGCTATATATAATACAGCCGATCCAGTTTTGGATTCTCGGTACATTATATATATTTAGCATTCATGGAAATTTTCAAGTTATTTTATATATTTTTAAATTCGGTTTCAAATTGAAATCTAATTTTAACCATGCATGCGCTTTGTTAAGCAACTTTGGAAATTCCACTTTTGAGCACGCGCGCGCGCGTGTGTGTATTCTAAAAATTACATGACAAAGTACTACTTTCCGGACTAAGAATTTTGATGGTTTTCCCCGGACTAGTGGAAATCATTTTGGGCTAAACAACTTAACCTAAAACTCAAATATAACATTTGGGAAGAATTTTAGTTTTAGAAAACTACAAAATCTATGATGTCACTCAAGCAACAAGGGTCATACCAGATTTTTAGCATCTAACTTGAAGAATTACAATATTTTTAGAGGTTACTAGGTCGTCCTTCATTTTGGATCAACGACAGGAAAAATCAGCTTAAACGAAAACTCAAATATAGCATTCCGAGAAGAACTTTAGTTTCAGAACTACAAAAGTTGTGATGATAATATATCCAAACAAAATGTGTCATCCTCTACATAAAAATACAAGATTTAATTTGTGAAGATCCCTAGATCCTTTGTTTTGGATAAAAAAGAAAAGGTACACAACATGAGTCATGCCAACCACGGGCCTAACTTAACCACCACACTAGCGGTATACGTATGTGGGAAGTGTCTATGGCGATGCTAGTGTGTGCATTTAGCTATCACACCGATGCTTATGACATGACTATATTCATTTGTCATGTGATGCCTCTCTGGTGTGACGAAAAGGGTTTGTTTTTAAATTTTTAGTTCGGCATGTGTTCTTGTTAAAATGTTAGTTTTTTGGATTAAAATCAAAAGAAATCTTTGCAGTATCTTAGTTTTTTTTTTTGCACAATTTTTTCACTTTATGTATTATTAGAACCTTTTTGAGTGACTATGTTTGTTACCGGTACATAACCGTGATGTTAGTCTACGCGTGGTGGGATCGATGCATGGGTGGTGTGTGCGAACTGCATGGGTTAAATCAAGCTCATGAGTGGTTCTTGTTTTTTTTTCTCGAACGTAGCTGTATTTCTTAGGAATCCAACACCGAACAACAACGATTGGCCGAAAAATTAGTTAGGTTAAATCAAGCTCGCGAGTGGTTCTTGTTGATAGCTCATTTTGAATTAGATCTACCCCGAAAAAGTTACGATATCAAAGAAACATATTATAAAAGATAATGGTCTCCGGAATCCTAACTTTATGTTATGTTATGATTTTAGTTTTTGGTAGAGGCCAGAGGTGGGGAGGCCGGCACCGGCAGGGCAAGCTGGAAGTGGAAGAAAACACAGCACGCAAAGAAAAGGGTGGTGGTGGTGGATGGATGATTGGGGGGAGGCCGGTGCCTGTTGCTTCGTGGTAGTGGGACCCACGCCACGTCAATTCCGGCTCATCATTCCAGCCATCTGTTTTTTTGGTCGGGAGGGGGAGGGGGAGGGGGAGGGGGAGCAGGCGAGCAGCCATCATCAGCCATGGATTCTTCATTCGGTTTCTCTTCCGTCTCTGTTTGATTTGATTGGGATTGGGATTGGGATTGGTTCTGCTCACTCTACAACCTAGCTGCTGTTGGTTGCTGCTTTGCTTTGGTCGAATTCCATTTCCATTGCATCGGCCCCCTCCATCCCATCCAGTTTGGCTGGATTGGATTCCGGGGATTCCTCTCATCCGATCCATCACCGTCGACCGTCGTCGCTGCTTGGTTGCCTGCTGCCTGCCTGCGTCCCCTCCCTTACCTTACATGATGGATGCTCGAATCGCCACCGCCGGTGTTGGCGGCGGCGCGGGGACATGTGCCGCCGGAGGATTCGGTACTCTCTCTCGCCCCCTTTCTCTCAACCCAATTACATTGCCCGGGAGGGATTGGATTGAATATCTGGATCGGATTGCTGCTGCATGCAGTCTGGGACGTGCTGCTGTGGCGCCGGGGCCGCGCCGACGTGAGCGCCTGCCTGCTGGCGGCCACCGTCTCCTCCTGGCTGCTCTTCTACGGCGGCTTGGTCCGCGGCTACACCTTGCTGTCCCTCGCCTCCAACGTGGTCCTCCTGCTCCTCACCGTGCTCTTCCTGTGGGCCAAGGCGGCGCGCCTCCTCAACAGGCCGCAGCCTCCCGTCCCGGAGCTGCGTGTTCCGCAGCAGGCCGTGGACGAGGCGGCGGCGCTGCTGCGCTCTGCTCTCGACGCCGCCTTGGACGCCTTCCGGGACATCGCGCTGGGCAGGGACTCGCTGCTCTTCTACCGAGCCTTCCTCTGCCTGTGGAGCGTCTCCATCGTCGGCAGCCTTACAGATTTCCCAGCCGCCTGCTACGCAAGTGAGCGAGAGCTTTTGCCTTGTCTTTGCTTCACCCATCTCTACTGATGTCCGATGATCATCGATATACTCCCTGTATTCACTCACCATGTCTCTCTGCTCTGCTCTCCTCTCCTCCGTCAAAAACAGGCATCGTTGCTGCTCTGACCATCCCGGCGCTGTACCACAGGCACCAAGAATGCATCGACACCTACATGAGCTTCGCCTACATGAACCTCCGGATGTACGAGATGGTGTACGAGAGGTTGTCCATGAAAAGCTTCCTCAGAGTCAGGGACTGGATCATGGAGCTACTCAAGGATCCATGACCAACCACTCACTACCGAGCTTGTGCACTTGTGCTTGCGCTTGGCTTGCTTCTACAAGGATTGATTGATTGATTTGGTTCTTCTTTGCTTGTGCAAAGCATAGCGCATCAACACTGGGACTGGGAGGTTTGTGTTGGTGCTTCAGGTATAGTTGATTGATAGATAGACGCAATAGTAGTTTTGATTGATGCTGATGATTGTTTGATTGCTTTGGATTCGGGAGTGGTGTGCTGCTTACTGCTTTCACCTTCTTCTGCCTGGTGCATTGCTCTTGTTGTTCAATGGAGCTAAGCTAGTCTTTACTCTTTAGTCTTTAGGGCGTGTTTGGGACTGCTCCGCTCCACGTTTTTCAGCTCCGCTCCACGTTTTTTAGCCAAACGGTTTCAGCTCCACGCACTCTGCTCCAGGAAAAAGGGTGGAGTTGTGAGAGCACCTAAAGAGGTACTCCATAAACTCCAGTTTTTTGTGGAGCTGCTCCACGATGGAGTTTGTGGAGCAGAGTTTGTGGAGCAGTCCCAAACACCCCCTTAGTGGTGTGTGTGATGCTCATGCTGAATTGCTGATGCATGCAAGTGCTTGCAGCTGTGTCTTCCATGGCAGCCAGACACGAGCCAAGGTGCCTTTTGATTCTGCCAGATTCATGTAACACTAGAAACCAGGCGCAGTGGTTGTTTGGATCATTTTTAGTATCATTCGTGTTTGTTCAGTCTGAAATCAAAACGTAAATAATCTTACGAAGAGCTTTGCTTGCACTTTAGTATCATTTGTGGAGAAAATTACACAAAGGCACCGTACGTGCTATTCCTGGTTGCACAATTATCGTAGTCAAGCCAGATTATACAGAGAAGCATTAAACCAATGAGCAGATTGCCACACGAAAAGACTTCAGAAGAAAATGTATAATGCTAAATACTGTGCTGCATAAGTGTTTAAGGCATTATCTTTGGATACACGTATGGAACTGCATATCCATATGTCAATATGTCACTCTGTGAAATTTGCAGATGTCAACTGAAAGGTAAAACAATGGTGATTCAGAGCTCATGCCTGCCCAAAACTTCAGGATCTGCTTAGCATGTAAAATTGAGCATGTAAAACATGTGTGGCACAAGCTGTTACTGTAATTATACTGAGCAAGGCAGAGGGGCAGATCAGCATTTTGTTACCACTTTGGAGAATTGCTTCGGAGCACAAAATTTCCAGGTTTCTTGAACAGAAAAAAATCTGCATAGTAGAAGCAGAAAGACCAAGGTATTTAAAAATGACATTTCCTTGGGTTATTACTAAAGGGCTTGGACTAATCTTTGGTTGGCGTTGGCATCACCGAAGGGATTATCATTTCTAATAGACACTGTCATAGTGATCCTATAATATCTAGCAAGAAGTTGATTCCAGTCTTTTTGGTGTACTAACCCATCATATCTTCATATGATCAGGGCACCATGTCTTCACTCTTCACCACATGTTCAGTTTAGGCTTACACCAGATTAAATTCAAAAATACTTGTAACAGTATTGTGTTAAATAATTTCTACGCTCTAAGATATTTATTACATTTTTTATAGCTTTGTTCATTTGAAATTAGCTGTCAATATATCCGTTAGCTCTGTGATTAGTTTTTGTATTCATATCATTATAGTATTTAGTAAATATTATATGAACAAAACTATGACACCCCGTTTGGATGTCTGCATTGAGGCCATGGCATTGGAATTGGAAATAGTAGACCCGAATTCCACGTGTTTGGATGGTCTTGGCATTGGAGTCTGGAAACTGAGCTTGATTCCGCATGGCATTTGCTTCACGTAGCACGACCCCGAAGCGATGACGAGCCGAGACCCTCCGGCTCTCGTCGTCTCCAACTCCGGCGCCGGCCCCTCCGTCCCTCGCAGCCAACCCCCTTCGTCCTCCTCGTCGGAGCTCCTCCACCCTCGCGCGCCCCCTCCGCCCCACTCGTCGGGGCCCCGCCCCTCAGATCCACCGAGACCTGTGGCGAGGCGGCTCCCTCCTCAGCGCCGGCGTCGAGCTCTCTTCTCCCCCATCACTGCTTCCCCTACCCCGTCGAGCTCCCTTCTCCCCCGTCATCACCTGTCGCGGTGGACATCCGTCCTCAGATCCGGAAGGGCCCGAGCTCGAGCTTCTTCGTGCGTCCTCTGCGCGTCGGGTCGTGCCCGAGCTCGCTCGCGGCCTTCCTCCACGCCGTGAGGGCCGAGCCTGAGTCCACTTGCGGCCGCCTCCGCGTGCGCCGAGGGAGTGCCCGAGTCTGCTCGCGACGCGCCGAGGGAGCCCGTTCGCTGCCATCTTCCACGCCGCCGGGGTGCCCGGATACTCCACGCGAGGGAGCCCGCTCGCTACTATCTTCCACGCCAGCAAGGTGGGCACTACTGCTCATGGGATCGCGGCTATCTTTTGCGCTGCCGGGGCGTTGTGATTTGTGAGGGAGGTGGGAGAAATCAATTTCATGATGTGCACATCCAAACATAAATTGGTATTTGCCAAGTCAATAGATTCCAGCCAGCAAATTCATCCACATCCAAACAACAGATTTGGTATTACAATACATTTCCAATACCAGTCTGATTTGATATTGGTACCAATGCAATTCCAGGGTCTCCAATATCTACATCCAAACGGACACTAACAGTTAACACCTAAATTAAGAGGGGGACACTTGCCAAAATATTGCATCAACCTTAGATAGGTCATCAAGGATATATCAAGAAAATCCTGACATGTATTTGGGCAAGTACTTGTAAAAAGGCAAAAATAACATAATGTCACTATTTGTATGCAGATTATGCAGCAAAGAAATATTTATAAGTCATCAGTTTATTTGGAAAGAACTAACCAATTATAGTTGCCAAACTAAGGCCCTGTTTGGTTGACTATTGGGAGAAAGCCATATGCAGAGTCGTGGAAAAGCTGCGTAACATGGAGTCAGAGAAAGTGAAAAGTCGTTTGGTTAAACAAGTATAAAATATACCTTTATCTTTATCTCTCTCAAAACAACTATGGAAGAGCTTTTATTCCACCAATTTCAAAAGCAGAAGTTAAAAGCCAAAAGGTGGTCAAACCAATTTTCAAAAATGAACTAAAAAAGCAATTGCTCAAAAATTCCAAAAGCAATTTTTGGTTGGGCTTTTTTGGCCAAAAGCCAAAAGCTAAAAGGTAGATATCCGTCTTTAAAACAAATGGAATAGGTATCAGTGTCATCACACTATCTTCTATGGAGATACAAAGCTGAACATGTGACATGCTTTTCTCTCTCTCTCTCTCCCTAAAAAAGGATGTACCCAGTGCTGAGAGCTCCCGCTCTGTGGAAAAAAAAAAAACTACGAGAGGGTGTAGTATTCTAGCACGAGTTCTAACGAGTGAAGATGATTTGAATCTATATCTTAGTGGGGAAATTAAAAAGGTCCGAACAAACACATATATATAGGTGAGAGTGAGATTTATCTGTTACCTCTCATGAGATGTTTGTTGCAGTCTGACCTCTGAGGCTCTGACCTCTATTGTAGTGGAGGATGAATTCAGCAAAGAGACATAGCAGCGAAGCTGCAATAGACAAAAAATCATGTGGAATGAGATGTGATAAGTTGAAGAGACATAGCACCGGCTGTTATCTTCTTGACTGCAGAGCGGCATTCCATCGAACGGTTCATGCCCCCCGAGAGCGTTCACCGCTATCCATGGGGTCGCTGCACGTCTCGCGTGCTAGTTCAATTGCTTTGCGTTGCCAAGGGTCTCGGCTGTGCTGGGATGCATGAGGAAGACACGGCCTTGGCCCGTGAGGCCTCGGGGTGTGATGGACTGATGAAGCGCCGAGCGAGCAGAGCAGGACAGAGCACTCGTAGGGCATGGTTGTGCGGCTTCAGTGCGCTCGAAGGAGGCAATGCATTACGGCCACGTCGTCGCGGCGATAGCTTCCCCGCACCGGCAGTCCCTTTTCCTCCTCGGCGACGTAGAGGAGTATAGAACGACGTCGACGAGGTGCTTTCCCGCGGCTACGGTGGTCTAGCTCTAGCAAGTAGGCACAAGCTAGCCGACGTGGCGAGGCTCCTCGCCGTTGTGTGGGCGGAGGAGGGGATCGCGCGGGCGGCCAAGTAGGACTGCAGCCACATGCCACATCGTGGGGAAAGATGTTTCTAGAACAGAGCCATGGCTGCGATGCGATCGTAACCGTAGGAACTACGATTGGACGGACGAGATTAGTAGGCGACGTGGCCGAATGAACTGCTGGAGCTTGAACTCTGGTTTAGAAAGTAGTAAAAGAAACTGGCTGTCTCAGGAGGATTTGTTCCCAGCACAACCAAACATGTCAACCAAATAATAACCAAGCAAGAAACAGCGAGCATGATCGATCCATACGGGGAGCTTAGCTAGCATCAAGTGAAGGTTCATTACACACAACTTTACTAGGACGTAAGCTGCTGACAGTAACACCGCAGACAAAAGGACTGCTGACTGGTTCTCCTACAAAAGCCTCCAGATTCAGGCATTCAGCAGCTAAGTCGGTTGGCGCAACAAGCGAGCCTTCAAGGTTCCAAGCTGGTTGCATGCCATACACACACAGATCACTACCGCTAACCGAAATCAGTTCAAACGTTCCCCCTATCCTGATGGACCAGCACATCAGCAGAAGAACATGGAGCTCCTCACTTTCTCATGCAGGCGAGGCAGCTCCGGCACGGGAGCACTGCCCGCCGAGGTATGCCCTCCCTGGCTGGAGGAAGCGTCTGACATCTCCTCCAATTTCAGGAACGTGCCCACCTGGGCTGCAGCAAGGTGGGCGTAGCAGATTGGAGCAACTGCAAACAAAAACAAAGCGCGCACACAGAGTAAGTTTGCTGTGCTGCAAACAATGCCTCAGATTCAGCAATCGGAAACTGGGACTGTGTGGCCTACCTACTGAGATGGCTGTTGTGCTCCTTTGATACCTGCAAAGCAGGTCATGGCAACAGTATAAGCAAAGGGACTATTATATAGCCAGCAACTAGTCACAGTGAAATGCAGCAACCAAAGTTCACAACTTACACGTAAGAGAGCGAATGAACAAACTCCTGCACTTCGTCAGCAGAGAAACCTATCTCATCGTGCAGAACATGATAATGGGTCGGCCTTGTCGTTCCCTGATACGAGCAGCAAGCACATACCAATATTTATTTAGCACTTAAACGATCTAGGATTCAGAGATAACTAACAGCATTTTGCTCTGGACAAGCTCATTCAGAGATCAGATACAACTTACAATCATCCCAGCATGTGCACACATGTAGAAGTCAAAGTTCTTAGGATGGCAAACTTTATTGTCCACGACAGTTCCTGCAGAATAACACATTTATTGTCACCACATCTCACAGGACACTGCCAACTCACATGCAAATGGTAAGTCACCTTGTACATTCGTTACAAATAAACATTACCAGGAAGAACATTGTCTGGTGATCCGGTCTGAAAAAACTTGGTGTGGTGGTTCTTTTGAGCAACAATCACAGTGAACTTGGGTGACCACTTCTCATCGAGAAACTTACATGCCTGCATTAATTAGAAGGATGTGCAATCAGTAGTATTTACCTTGTGGTGAGTACAAGCATTCGTTGCGAACTAAGCAAATGTGCAAGGACAAATCAAAACAAATGCATTACCTCAATTATCTGATCCAGTTCAATGTTGATGACCTGGGTAAACTGACTTTCGCTGACTCCATCCCTAAAACCAGCAAATGGTTATACTTACACCACAGTGGTTAAGAAAGTATCAATAATCCATTCCAGTAAAGAATGTACCATACTTCTCAATATTTTTTAGTTTCTAGAAAAAAGATTTAGTGATATAAGCAAATAATAACCCCAAAACTTCAAACCTGAAAATAATAATGTGGTCTGGTTTTCGCTTTCCAGAGCTAGTGTAGAAGTCAATCAGTGATTCCCTGAAAGTCCCAAATATGAAGATGAACTTAGTATTCAAAAGTCATCATGCTTAACATACATATTACATAAATCCACATACTAAGAAGATATCTCTTACCGAATGAGGCCATCATCATCACTACCCCGTGGCTTAAACAAGGAGGACATCATTTCTAGTCTGGCGGATTGGGTGTGCACTGATGCTCTATATTTAGAGATAAGAGGCCATTGACGAGAACTAACCACCTAAACAAAGAGGAAAGTTATGGTTACATCAGATTAACAGAGATCCATTTCAGAAATTCACTCAGATTTCATGTGGGCAGAGGAATTGTACAAGTAAAGGTATGCCCATCTTACCGCTGCAACTGAAGGTCTATCCTGTCCTGGATGACCATGAGACACATCCATACCCAAGATGATGGTGGGTACTTCCGACACATGGGGTATTGATGGAGATGCTTCAACTTGCAGCAACGAGTTCAGACCACCAAGCTGGTTAAAAACAGGGGAAAGAGAATGGTATAAGCATGCATTAGTGAACAATACAGTGCAAAAGAAGACAAAATCATGTCTCAAACCTTTGCATTAATCTTCATCAGCAAATTAAGCAGGTACGGATCATTGACTCTTGTTGGAGCTAGACACTGTGTGACAATACCAAACTCGGCCAGGCACTTTCTCTTCCAAGGACCTGGTTGAAACCAAAAAGGTATAATTATTGCAAAGGTGTGAGATATTTATATGGAGGAGTAACAGTGGTAACCAAATATAAACCAACCATAGACTTCGCAATTTTTCCTCTCAGGGAGAAGGCACATGAGGAACCTAGGAGCTCCAGGAAGTTTTGATTTTATCTGCCCAAACATATCATCCACTCTTCTCAACACAGGTGCACGCCTCATAGAGGGACTCTCTTCAAACACATCAAAAGGTTCCTCCATTTGCTGCCAGAAGAAAAGGTGAGCAACAGAAAACTGTTACAATAAAAGATGTGTGAAAAGCTAAAACATACAATTCCCTTTGCAGATGCATTCCTCATCAGGTCACGGATAAGATTCCGAACATCACAACGTGCAGAGAAATTAACAACCGCCCACTTATCCACAGAGCAGGTTTGATAAAACTTCTGAAAGGGGCAAAGAATTGGCAAATAAACATCAGAAGAAAGATCCTTCCTAATCAAGAACTAGAGAAGGTAAAAAAAGAAACATGCTGAGTTGCTGACCCTATTGGTGAAATTCCACCGTCCATTTCGTGAGAAGATATCATCACCATGTCCGGCTTTCAGCTACAAGATATTAGATTTAGTCAGATACATTTTGCTGACATAATGACTTGGTACAACATTTAGTGAGAAAACAACTAAAGCTTAGAGAAGTGTCACCAACCTTTGGGGCTTGAAGGATCCTTCCTTCAACTTGGGTAAATTTTGGAGCAACTGAAACGCCACATGCCCTCAACATGGGGTCAGAATCATAGTTACTGCGTTGCAGTGCCTAGCATTTAGGGTAATCATAAGCTGTTGATTAATTCAGTCGTAGAAACCAATCCCATGTAGTTATAAATTGTTGCAGGCATGCTAAAATCAAGGTAACAACTCACATCATTTAGAACTGTCATCCTTTCTTGAGGCTTCTGTCTAGACTTCTCAACAAGGGATGACCTTTGTAGCGTAGACAAAGCTTTGGTGTATCTTTGAAGCGGAACAAGGGAGCATAGCTAGTAACACAATACAAAAATATGAGATGCAAGATATATTTAATAAACAGAGATTTGATAGGATGTACACTAACATAAATGAAACAAACCTCGATTGGAAAATATGTTGGACGCTTTGCCCTCCCTGTATTTATACAGGGGAAATCACCAGAATACTTTAGATCGATTCCTTTCTTCGCATAGTAGTCATAGACAGTTATTTCAATGGTATCACAATCTCCGTTGCTACCATTTCTCTGCCTCAGTGGAAACCTAATTGCATATGTCAATGAGAAAGCAATTAAGCACAAGAATATCTCTGTCAAACAAGCTTGGCATTGAGATCAGAACACAATCAATAAAAGCAATATTTGCTGAACAAAATTCTTCTGGAACAGGCTACACACTAGGGTACATTTTTTTTCAAATACCAAGTAAAGCACGCATGAAAATAAACAAAACAGCAAGAAAACATGTCCTCACGTTAGTTCTTTGCAAATCCTCTCGCTGAGACCAAAAATCTTGAATTCTGAATTTGCAGGAGTGGTTCTAATCCTCAAGCCCTTGAGAGCACGCTTGGCCTGCATTGAATATGCACACCCAAAAATAGTGTTACCGTTCTACCAAAATAGATATTTCAATGCAGTAGCGTGATCATTCAAAAAGTTATATCCAAAGGTGCAATTTACCTTTTGCCAATCAATTCTGCTAGGATCATTAACATTCTGGTTAGAAAGAAGAAAATCAATAACAGGGCCAGGCTTCACGATCATTGTTGTTGAGACATCTGCGGATTTCAAAAAATAAGCTATCATGATCATGAAAGATGTAAGATTACAGAATAGACAAACATGGCACCGATACAGCCATACAGGACAAATACGTACCAACGTTCAGGGAAAGTCCACTCTGTGTGCCGCGGAAGCTTGAATGAAATCCACGGCAACCCATCACACCACCACCCAAGTCAACAAAGTTTGAAGGGTTGTTGTAGAAAAACGATTGCTTAACCAAAAGGCAGCCTCTGCAAGTAGTGAGAAAAATTGCCATGATCTAACTGCAGAAGATCCTCAAATCTACCTATAAATCATCCATGAAGATGCATAGCTACATACTGTTCTGCGGAATGCTGCCTCAGTATGATATCAAGAACACGAAGTGCCTCCAGGGAGTTCTCCGTTTCTTCGCCTCTAATGACTTGACCAATAGCACTCATAGGAACCTTTGCTGCAAAATTTATCTCCACTTTGAAAGTTTTCGTCTGGTATGGCCTCCTCACTCTCTTCCTGTCACCACCTCCAGGACTGTCATTACCTCCAGGGCTCCCATTGGCAGCAGTCCTACAACCACACACACACAAAAAAAAAAAACACATCGCAATTACAAAGTACGATTCTGGATAAGCATAAACAACAAGAAAGCAGATCAAAGAATAAAACTAACTTTCCAGTAGACGCGTCCTCCAAGACGACGGTGAATTCATTGTTTTTTTGTGGAAGACCACCAACTGTAAACAGGCTCTTTTCTCCATCATATGCAAAATCCTTGTTGGAAAGCTCAGCGCGATATGTCTGCTGCAGTTTATCAATCACCTTTCTGCCGATCCCTTTACCTTCAACAGGTTGATCATCCTCATACTTCAGGTTTACCTATTCAAATAAAACAGCACTATCTCATCTGCCAAAGATAAGTTATTAACAAACAAGGGACACACAATGATATATTTTGAACAGAAGATTGTGAACTCAGTAAGAAGACATACATAATAGTGAAAGAAGAAGTCTTCTGTACTCTTCACGACGACTTTAAAGTGATTTGAATAGAGCTGGACTAGCTGCCCTTTTCTTCCTATACCAGGCCTGTCCATCAGTAATCTCTTTGGCTTTACTAGCTTGTTTGCTGGTGATTCTCCCACAGCATCTTCAGCTTTAATGGGAACCACATCTGGTGGCACCGGCGGGGGTGGTGGCAACTCTTCATCCTCGCCATCATGAGAGCCCATTTTAAGATAAAACAAGCAGCACTCTCTGCAAAGAAACAAGGACAACAATGAATTGGTGCAAGGGAAGACAATGAGCACTTGAAAGAATGTTTTACCAATACCATGTAACAGCAGCATATAATCACAAAGTTGAATCTTTCTGTTACCTAGCTTCTATACCTACAATCTTCAACACTTTAAGCTCCATGTTTCTGCCTACTTCTTTATCAGATTAAATTCAAGTAAAATGCAGAGCCTCTGTGGTGAAATGAACGATAGGAATAGCTATAACTCTAATTCCATTCCCGAGTTCCCACCTCATTGGCACTAGCCACGTTACTCAGTCTTGTGCCTGTTTGCTAATGCACAAATTTTTTACTTGTTTCATATGACCTCCTTGAGAAGCAAGGACACATTTGGGACACGAATCTTTTGTACAGTATATCAGATGCACCATTAAGCTTGTCTAACTGCATGCTTTTGGTGGCAGCATTATACTGTGCAGATCACAAGGACTCAAGCGCACGACGTTACTAATAAAGAAATACGACTGTAGTTGGCTGTCAGATCACAGTGAATAAAATGGGCGTAATGTTGACTTGAAGAATCACAGATTAAAAAGACAATCAGATGCCCCCGACCAAAGGCAGCATTTTGTTAAAACAAGGTTCAGGTAAGGGGAAAAAAAGATGGAAGCTTTTGGTGAAGTTGACAGGGTAAGGGGAAAAAAAGCTTTTTATTAAAAAAAAATCTTGAGAAACCACCTGAACAGCAGACTCGCAGCTTCAAGCACTCGTCTTTATGTCATTGTTACACAAAAAAGTGGACATTTATTTTTTTTCAAAAAAAAGGCACGGTAATGTAGGAAACCCCTGTGAGATGAATCGCATCGCTGCAACAGCATCCAGAAACGTGTTAACCGCTAAAAATCCAAAGGGGGCTATCCTCCCCCCTCCCCGCCTCTATTTTTTTTAAGAAAGAGAAACAAATCTGCGAGTGTGAGGACTAAGAGCGGCAGCAGGAAAGGGACCCAGCTCTTCGTCCTCCGGGTGCAAGAAACCAAATGTCCCGAAAACCCTAGGAAGCAGAAGCTGCATCTTCGGTAAGAAATGAAAGAGGAACGAATGGGGGGTTTTCAGCGGCGAGGGGGCTAGGGTTTACGCATGCAGCAGCATTGCAGATTTGTACATACATGGACAACAGGACAAGGCATGAATCACAAAGCATCAAATCAAACAGGGGGGAGAGGGAAGAAGGAGGAAGGATTGGAGTCATCTCCACTTGAATCACTTACTTACCAAAAGCAAGGAAGACAGGAGGACGGGCGAGGCGAGGTCTCCCAGGTCCTGCTCCTCTCCTCTCCTCTCCCACTCCTCAGTCCCCGAAGCCTGAACTGCCCACTCTGCTCCGACCGCCCCCAGCTTAAATGCGTAGCACCTCCCTCGAACGGCGGGCGGCTTTGCACTCCACCTCCGGTCGGCCCACGTTTTTAGTTCGACATCTGGACATGCAGCTGGGCCGGGCCTGGAAAGTGGACATGTAAAAGCGATGTGGCCCATCTACGCCTCTATAATTCTAGGTCCCGTTAAGGGGATCACAAAGGAATATTATAGGATTCATCTTCCTAAGGAAACTTTCCTAAACTTCTCTTTGGTTCACAGGAAAAAGAAAGGAAAGATTCCACAGGATTGCAATCCTATACTCCATTTCACAGGAAAAAAAACCAAGAGGTCAGAGCTCTCGGAAACTTTCCTGGCGCGAGAAACAATCGCTTGCGTCTGTTCGCGCCGTTTCATTCCATGATTGTCTGCAAAAACGCAGCATCTGCTTTCCTTCTAGAGGGCTGGGCCTTTTTATTATACATAATATATATACACGAGAGGCCATGGGCCTAAACAGCAAGAGCAGAGGTGCCTGTCCAGTTCGCCACCACGCATGCCTGCCGTCCCTGCTCCAATTCCTCTGTTTCACCTGGCCTTCAACCAAAGGCCTTCTTTACATTTTCCTTTGTTTTGATTCCTATAGGATTAGGAAAGGATGGCATCTTGATTCCTAAGTTTTTCCTACTCCTTTGTTTTTCCTATCCTGTAAACCAAAGGAGCCCTAAAATTATATAGTACAATGTTAAATTTGATTTGACTAGGTTGGTAGAAATCCGTATTAAATTTAATATATTTCTAATAATACCTATTTACGATGATAAATATTACTGCCTCCGCTCTAAATTATAAGTCGTTTTGATTTTTTTTATTCATCCAAAGGAAGTTATAATTTAGAACGGATAGAGCAGTATTATATATATAAATTTAGTCAAATTTGACATACTTTATTTAGTAGTACTATTATAGAATTGTATGCTTTTCAGGATTGAGATACTATATAGCTAAACGGTATCAATCTCTCATCGGTTTGTGGTATCTCATTTTAACCCTTCTCCCTTTAAATTTAGAGCCGTAAAATCTGCGTTGGCGCTACAATACTCGTGCCATGACCTGACCTGCTTGGCTCGTATGCATCTCTGACACGTATATGAAAGTGTAGCTCGTCTTTTATTTTTTTTAAACTCACACCAGGTATACATAATAACTTGACATTTAAGTTGAGTCATTATTTTTATCAATTTCCTATGCGAGATTGGTCTTTTGTTACACAGGCATTCGTTATTAGCTTGCAATTGTTTGATTTAACGTTGAGCCATAAAATAATTAAATCTAAGAAAAATAGCTAGCTTATTGTATTGGCATAAATACCGCGCAACTAATTGTATGTCGTGTCGTAATGCATGAGCATGTTTACTAATATTTATGGCTAACATTATAAAAGTCGTAAATTTATTTCTTCAGTCTCACACTCTTCTCGCACGTTCGTCCATAGCTGGTCTTTCGTCTCTTAGTTGTCATCTCTTACTCTCACACTTCTTGCTTTAGCTTTAGAGTTGCAAAACCTTCGTGTCGATGTTTTGAATAAGCACCAACTAGTAAATTTATATTTGTTGCGCGTTAGATCCGGATAGTGTGCTAAAAGACATAAGGTTTAAACTGGTTCGGGCAGAATGCCCTTACGTCCAGTTTGCTGCTGCTCGTGTTATTGGCACTAAAAAAGGTTCGTAGTAGGGGGTACAAACGGTCGAGAGAGGGACAAGCCTCAAGTCTCTGATGGAAAGGTCGAAAGGATGCCAAGAGCTCGGTTGCTGCTTGGCTATGTATTATGTGATGTGTTGTGTGTGGAATTGATCCGTCCCCTTAGTGGGGTGCCCTGCCTTTCTTTTATAGACCAAGGGAGAGCAGGGATTATAGATGGGAGAAAGAGAAAAAATCAGAGGTAGAGAAGGTCCTTCGAAGGTGTCGGGTCTTCCTTTTTTTCCCTAAAGCCCGCCGATGCTGACATGGCTGACGGTGCCAGGGGTAGCACGTTCGTTATCCTGATAGGGCCGTGCTCTGGCTTCGTTCAGCAAGTGATCACGTCCCATCCTACCCCGGTGGACGGTGCGGCGTGCTAGGGTGCCGAGCCATGACCCTACGAGGAATGGACAGGGAAGTGACCATACGTCAGTTATTGTAGATGATGTGAATTCCCTCCTGGATTGTAGTGTTTGTCATATGCTTATGTCAGGATCCCCGTCCGAGGGCTGATGGCGGCGCCCACAACACTATAAGACAAAAGTCGGCTCCTACAACACTGTTCGGGCTCTGTCATGCCTGGAAAGGTTTAAAGCACCCATCCCGTCATATCCTGACGGTACTTTCCCGCAGGCGTGCAGGGTATGGTCTCGGTACTGCGGTTGATCTGAGTGCCCTGTCTTATCCTGTGCTCGTCATTATAAAGGAGCAGGGTGCAGACGTCGGACGAGGCGGAGCCAGCCCCAGGACGTCGGGCGAGGCGGGGCTAGCCCTCAGCCGTCGAGCGAGGCGGTTTGGCCCCAGACGCCGGACGAGGCGAAGTCCAGCCCCCGGGGGTCGGGCGAGGCGGAGCCAACCCTTAGAGGTCGAACGAAGCGTAGCCAACCCTTAGAGGTCGGGCGAAGCGTAGCCAACCCTTAGGGACCGGACAAGGCGCAGCCAACCTTCGGTCGTATGGGTAAGAAGTGTAGTTACGCTCTCATCTGTTCGGAAGCATCAGCGTTTGATGATTATTAGTTCCACCTCTTTGGGTACCCTAGTATTTGGTCCCCGACACTTTGTTAATGCCATACCGCTCATGTCATCTCCTGGTTATCGAGACCGTTCGTGTTGTGACTCGCGTGTTGACGTGTGGCTCGCCTTCCATCTTTCATAAACTCATAACAAGCACGCACAAAAGCACCTATTTAAGATCAATCGATATCCAAATTTTTATACTCCCTCCATACTAAAAAATGAAGTTGTTTTGGACAAAGGCTTGGGTCAAACATTGGGAATATAAATCATGAATAACTTTTAAGTTGTTGAGTTTGAAAATATGAAAACCATATGTATAGATTTGTCTTGAAAAATACTTTCACAAAAATTTACATATATCACTTTTGGAGTACATGATTGATTCTTTATTGCATCAGTATTTATTATTTGTCTTGAAATTTATTTGATTTAATAATAGATTAAGACTAATTAAATCTAATAAAACAGCTAACTTATTATTACTGACACCAGTACCATCTAACAAATTGTACTCATAGTATGTCGCATAGTAACGTACAAGGACGTTTGGTCTTTAATTTTTCGTCTATTTTTTATGAATCCTGCGCGCTCTTCTCAGCCTGCTGCTTTTCCGTTACGAGTGGGCCTAGGCGTCCAGTTCTCACGTGCGGCACTATAACAAAGGCAGACCAACGTGGGGCTAAGGGCGCGTTTGGATGCTTAGTTCGTAAAATTTGGGAATTTAGCTACGGTAGTATTTTCGTTTTTATTTAGTAATTAGTGTTTAATTATGGACTAATTAGACTTAAAACGTTCGTCTCGCGATTTTCAACCAAACTGTGCAATTAGTTTTTTTTCGTCTACATTTAATGCTCCATACACGTATCACAATATTCGATGCGATGGCTACTGTAGCATTTTTTAGAAAAGTTTTTGGGAACTAAACACAGCCTACGCTTATGGTGTAAAAAATAACTTCAGGATGTTGGAACACTGCTGCGGTGCCATATCTGTGGGAATCAGTCAAACACTTGCCGAATATGCGGCGTGGAGGTGTGGCATATTTTTGCGTGGTTGGGTAACCAACCAAACG